ACGTACACATAAACATCAAGAATCACGCAGAGGAAGTTTTACAAGAGAAATACATCAGTTACCTGTTTCTACGCAACATATTACCTCTAAACTTAGCAACTTTAAGCAACAATCATTTATTGTCAAGCCCATTGCTGTGGCCCAGAAACCTGGGAGTGACCTAGATGGGTGCAGGGCCACCTTGTCTGGTAACTGCAGGAAGCACAGTACCCAGGGCACATATTTGTCAGTTTAATTTCCTCCTTGCAATACTGGAGATCTGTGTTTTGTTTGTTTGTTTGTTTCTGGAGGAAGGGGTCTACAAAGACAAAAGTGTCTAGATTGCATGAAAGTCACTGGCTGGGTAAGCTCTGCTGAGGTTTTGGTCAAGCTGTCAGTGGCAACACAGACGTTGGAGACAACACAGGGGAAGATCCACTCCCTGTCACTCAGGTGAGGCTGGCAGGCCTCAGTTCTTCCGTGGTTGTTGGCTGGAGGGTTYAATTCCTCAYCATGTGGACTCTCCATAGCTGCCTGCCTGTCTTCCTTACATGGCAAATGGCTTCCCCCAGAGCAATTAAAAAGAAAGCAAGAGAGAGAGGGAAAGCTAGAGGAAAGCCTCCCCTTGTCTTTCATAACCTAATTTTGGAAGTGACATCTCATCATTTCTGCCATATTCTATTCCACACAGACAAACTCTGGGGCAGCAAATTCCCAAAAGTCAGGCATGCAAATACCCAAAAGTCAGGGATCACTGGGGCTATGCCAGATGCCAGTTACCAAAAGTACTGTCCTTAGTAGTTAGGGACTAGAAACCTAACTACTGAATGCCTATCAATAGCAGAAAGGACAAAGGAAAACTATGGTGTACTTGTACAAGGGAGTCCCACGAAGCAATAGAAATGAACCATTATAACTGGATACAACAATAGAGGTGTATCTCATAAATATAAGATTGCAGAGAAGAGGTCAGGCACCAACAGTGTACACTATGTGATTCCATTTATGCAAAGTTAAAAAAAAAAAAAAAAAAGCAACACTACTCCAAGACTCCAAGTGTTAGAGGCCAGAACAGTGTTTCCCCTGGGGAAAGAGTGCCCAGAAGCAGATGTGAAGGGAGGTTTTGGGTGTTTCTTCATCTGAGTATTAGTTCCACGTGTTCGTTTGTGGAAATTCATTAAGCTGTGCGCCTTTCTCTATGTACATTAATACTTTCATAAGAGGGTTTTGAAAGTAGGTGTAAGAACAGCTTTATTTTCTCCCTCTCCTAAAGAGAACTTTTCGTGGCTAAGCACACCCTGGGTGTTRTATATTGAGGTGTGTGCTCCCCGCCCCCACACCCCTGCAATTCACAGGTTGAAACCCAATCCCAAGCATGGTGTTATGTGGGGGTAGGGCCTTTGGGATGGGTTTTGGCCACCAGGTAAAATCCTCCTAATTGGGATTAGAGGCCTCAAAGGAACTCCTGTGTCTTCACCTGGGGAGGGTGCAGGGAGCAGGCTCTATGAATAAGAAAGTAGGCTTGACCTAGTAATTGTAGAAATAAATTTCTTTTTCTTTGTAAGCCACCCAGGATACAGTATTTCTGTTAGAGCAGTCCCAAAGGACTAAGGGGCGGGTCTGACTCTAACATAAGGTTAATTTCTTAGGCCCAGTGCCAGGCCTCATTTGGAATGAGATCTTGGTTGAACAAGTCACCTAATGTCCCCAAACGGTAGTGAACTCAAATTCAAAATAAAGTAGGCACTTACTCTCCTGGCCTCAGGGTAGTGTGGGTAGATTAACTAATATTAGGTGCAGTTGAGTCTTTTTATACATAAGATCAAGTACTACAGTCAGTGAATTATGTGAAAGTCAAAAGTAACCAAATTACTCATGAAAGTTCCTTAGATAGGCCTTATATCACTGGGATACAGGCCCTGGTAAGCTCAAAAAAGCCAAGAGTCAAGAATTTACTACTTTGCCTTTCTGTAGACTTTTACCATGGTCTTCCTTTCTGTAGAGCGTCAAGGACCAGCTTGAATGACAGGTGGCGGGTGGGCAAGGCAGGGGGATTTGTCTCTCTCTTGATCTCTCTTTTTTGTTGAGGGGTACCCTGCTGAATTTCCACATTTAAATATACCTTTTGACAACTCCAGTGCATGTGAAAGCACTGGAAATTAGAACAAGATTAAGAAATGTAAGTTACTATTCATCTTCAGAACAGGGGCTCTCCCTAGATTATTTGGGGCCTCAAAAGTCTGTGGACAATGTCAGAGTTAAAGTGACTGATTAAAGTTATTTAATCAAAACAGCGACTGCTTGATGCTTCCTAAGTATTGGAACAGTAAGTGGAGAAAGAAGATGAAGTTACCGTTAGATATTATCATACCTAGCAATTTTGTAACTTCAGAGTACTTTATAGTTTGCAAAATAATCTTTTCTTTATAACAAACCTTATTTTAAAGATGAGGCTTAACTTCTCAAGATCACTTGGCTAATTTAATAGGAGAATTGGCATTCATAACCAAATATTCCAAATTTAAAGCAATAATACTTACCAGGAGATCAGTATAACTATCTATCATCAATCTATTTCCTTCTCTCTCTCTCTCTCTCTCTCTCTCTCTCTCTCTCTCTCTCTCTCTGTTGGTATAGAAAAAAGAGATAGGTTTGAGGATTTGTGATCTGGCCTCTGACCTGCTGGATTTATCTTCTGGTCTCAGCTATCTGCTGTATTCACATGACCCCTGCAAACACCTTTAAGAAGTGGTGGCAGGAGCAGCGCCCCTAAGCAGCTGTGGTTCTCACCTGGACCAGAAATCCATTGCATAGGATAAGGGTAAAAGCTGTTCCTGTGCACTCTATGTGTGAGGCTTAAGAGGAATCCTTCCAAGTGACACACTGGTTACTGTTGATCCAAGGTGGAGTCAGATGACTTTTTAAATACATTTATGAATGCATAAAGCTTATGCACACACTTAACATGTGCTTATCTGTATATAATAGAACCATTTGTAAAGATAGACCTTGCCCAATGAAGTGTATTATGAGATAATTTTTATCATTGTGATTGTAAGTCAAGTCTAGTTTATTTCTCTCATGGGAGTTGACATTCACAATGTATAGGACTCTTTCTGTGCCTTAGAGCTTTGCACAGGTTTGTACCTTTTAATGTGACTGGAAGTTCCCCAAACAGGGCAAATCCTTCCCATTGTAGAACCCACTGTAAAGTGGCTTGGAGAAGGGGATGGTGGGTCAAATGGAGACTCTCCTACAGCTCCTCACAGCCAGGACAGATATTGCTATCCCCGGATATGATCCCCTTTTAGTCATTACAATATAAATCTTTCCAAGTATTTCATTGGGGACATGGTAGCAGCCTGAGGCCCCCTGGTGGCCGGAAATGATTCATGAGTTTGTTTTTCAAGCATTTGGAAAGGTAGGAGGTCTAGCTGAAGAAGTAAGATAGTTCATACTCACTTAGACCTGGTGCTTACAGGAGGAGCAGGGTGGAGTMGGGTGACCTACAGAGCAGAAAGTCAAGAACCAAGTATTTTCTGTCAAGACATAAGAATGGTACATAMACCTGTATGAACCACTTTCTCATTTTTCATTCTTGATTCACCTAGCATCTCAATTATGTTCTCCTTGAGTTAGTTCCTTTTTGCATGCAAGATATTATATTAGGTATCATGCTGAACTTTTTTTAAAAAAAGGTCACATCATCACATGTCACACACTTCTTGAGAACTTTGGGAGGGAGATAAAATATTTATATCACCAAAGTGCTAGAAACTGAAAGGTACCCTAAGGGTGAATGAACAATAGTAAAAAAGCAGCTACTTTCAGATAAAAGGGAGGGCTTCTGGGAAGAGGTGTCTGTGAGCTTGAGAGCTGATGAGAGAAGCAAGATTTGGATAAACAGAAGGAGGAGAGGATGACATATCATTAYAAAGGAAGGGAAAGAGAAGTGTGGAGACAGGAAAGACAGAGAGGCAAGAAAACCCRAGCCTGAGGCAGGATGGGGAATAGTCTAGCCAAGCTAAGACCTAGGAGCTTTGGGAGTTAGGATGAGAACAGAAGCTAATACATCTGTTTGGAGGAGGTTGGAGAACTTCAGCCTTGCTGAAGAGTTTTCCTCATAAAGCCATGAAGAGCCTTTGACTATCTTTGAGCAGAAAAGGTGTGGTCAAAACACAGCCTCCTTGGAGCTGCACTGAGCAGTTTCACTGGCTTGCAGTAGGTTGRGAGGAGCGCTGATCCTCACAGTCACCATCTGACCTCCAAAATCATTAAGGTGTTTCCAGTTACCAAAACTGCCAGAGTATCCAGGAGTAGTGGGGGCCAGAAGACTCCTGCCATATTTAATCAAACTCTTCAGTAGACTACCTTTCAAGGAATGTTCTCTGCTAGGCTTTATTGTTTTATTCTTGGAATTTTAAGGCTTTTATGACCAACTATCTTTCTGCTCTAGTTTGACGACATAAAAGAGGAATATTTCTGGCTAGAGTTAAGGAATAGCTCAATGTCTACAGAAGAGTCTTAGCAGTAACCTTATTTGCCTAATATTGGAACTAAGTACATAAGCAGCCTGAAAAATCTACATAATGCCTGTCTGATAGTCTGTGCTTAAAAACTTATTTAAAAATATGTTAAAGCAATAGTTAGTGACTAATTCGACAAAAATGTGACACATTTAACAGAACATTACAAAATTTCTGACCCCAGGCATTGATTTCCTAATTAAAATGGCATAGAAATCCTTTACAATGTAATCAACATAACTAACACTGGTCTTCAAAAGTAATGAAAATAATAAAAATAAATCTTCCAGTAAAGAAAAAACAACTTGTCCTTTTGAGAGAACCACAATTAATCGATACTTTGCAAATGAGACAAAGGAAAATGGACAATTTGGGACCACAGTAAAAATAACTAAAACAAATAATCATTTAAGAAGTTTCAGCAGCAATGAGTATTTATTATTTTGAATGAAATATACATTAAACTTTTATATAAAAATCATTAAAAGTGCTATATTGGATTATTTTAATATTAATTTAACCCCCCCCGTCATCTATTAGCTATACCTTTCATGTTCACTTCTGAGACAACATTAAAATCACCTTAAATTGTCCAATGTTAAAATATATATATATATAAAATATTAGTTTATTCTTCATGATAAAGTACCACCAGTGATGAGTTACTGAAAATGAAAGATAAACACAGATGTCAGAGAATCAACTTCCTGGGGAAAAAAAAAGTGACAGAATTTCATAGATGTATATGTGAAGTCCAAGGTAATGCCGCAGACCTTCAGCAGAACCTGTTTCTAATACAGACTTCTTAAGAAGGAGTGCAGGGTATTTTGGAGGCAGATCTCTGGTGTGCTAGGACCACGTTATTTTCTCATCACTTCTTGGCTGCTTTCCAAGGTGAACCAAATGTTACCTAATGCTGTGCCATCTGCCACCACCCCAGAAAGGTTTGTCACAGGTGTGTGTTGGGTGGGGTGGGTGGGGGGATTCTTCGGTCTTAGAAATAGCCCTTAAGATTAAGGTTGTCATTAAAGAAGAGAGTCACTAAGAAGACATTGAAGAAGACAGGTAACTCCTCACAAAGGAGGAATCACCTTTCCCCCACCTTCAATCCCCACTCCCTGTTTTTTTTTTTTTTTTTTCTAGTCTGCTCCCAAGCCACGCCCATTCCATCTCTGGTTCTGGATAAATCAAGTTAGAGCAGGGCTTTGGGGCCACAGAGCCATCCTTTGGTCTCATTCAGTCTCAAGCAAACAAGCTTCTCTGATTGGCCACCAGCGCCGTCTGGCTCTCGCGCCTCTTGGCTTTCTTGCTTCTCTGTCTCACCTTCCAACACAAGGCGCTGGAGGCTAATAAAAAAAGTCCAGATGACAAGAGGACCAGGCCAAAGATGGAGATGATGGAGCCGTGGGAATTGAAGCTGTAAGCCACGCCGGTGACCACGACCCCGGCGATGAAGACCACCAGGGCGAAGGGAATGATGCAGCGATAGCAGGAGAGCTCCGCGCCCCCGGTGGCGGCCAGCAGCTGGACCTCAGTGACCAGCGGGGCCGTGTTGATCACCACCTCGCTCTTAGAGCTTTTCTCCGATGTCACTGGCATGGGAGACTTGGGGGCTCCCAGGCTTTCCTTCACAGGCTCTTCATTCATGTTTACCGTTGCTGCTGTTCTAGCGGGGTTCAGAGGCTGTATCTGGTCTCAGCAGGGTGGAAACTGTGGAGATGGAAACAGGAGATGTCAGCTAAGCAAGAAGAACTGAAAAAGAACAAACGCACCACCTCTCTGCAGGAGTCTCGAATGCGTGTGAAAATCAACTATTTTTTTCTCCTGATTGATTATGTTGTCTTTGCATTGAGCAAAAAAKCAAGATAAACATAAAAGGGAAGATTTTTTTAAAAAGCAGGAAGCACTTTACAGTGTTTAATATTCCCTGGTGGTCCACAAATGTTTTCTTTTTTTAATAAGCTTTTCCTCTTTGTCGATTGCTTTTCTTTTCTCTAAACACAGAGGAGCCTGGATCCTAATTCACAGACATCCTCATTCAAGAGGAGACAACATTATAAACCGTTAGTTCCACAGCTCAGAGCAACTTAAGCTCTGCCAATTTTGCAGGGTATAACAGGCATTCTTTCCAAACTGTCACCCATTCACTGCTCATGAAATCAGTGCCAAGACAAGTGGCCCGCGTAGAGATGATGCTCTTCCCTAACTACTGACTGCCAGTGAGTCTTTACTGCATTCCCGTTAAACACAGTACAGCATGTGCCTGGGACACCCCACCCCACTGCAAATGGGCAGTTCAGCAAAAAGTTTGGCGACAACGTGGCAAGGATTTGAGTTCAGAAATGTGGCAATACTCTCGTTCCATTTGAAATGAAAAAAAAAAAAAACCAAGAAATAACTCAGCAAATTCATGGAGTATGATTTTGGGTTTTCTCATGTTAATAGATCAAAATCAACTGTCAGAGCAACTTCCTACTAACCTCAACCAGGAATTTTGATATTATGTATATGAAGACCTTCTTAAACAAATAAGCATGCCAGGTAGTCAGCAAAATTTGACAAATTCTTTTTTGTTGTTGTTGTTCCTTTCTCCAAKCCTTTGGGTATAAAATTTACCCCATTCTAAATTTTTTTTGAACTGGAAATTCCAGGACAAAACTTGAGACCCTTGTTCAAAAAAGCATTTGATGGAAATGCTTCTATGAGGAATCACTGAGAAACCTCATCTGCTGCTTGGGCATGCTAAGGGAACTCGCTGTCTTGGATCTTCAGGGCCTGAACAATTGTAGTTACTAAAAGAATTTACGGGAAGAAACTTGAGATGAGATTCATCCTTTAAATATATTAAGCATCATTTGAAAATAAAATGCAAGCCCAAATAAAACCTCACTGGTTCCTTGTAGCCCTAGGTGGTCAAATATCAATTCCTAAGCAATGAAACGAATTATTAAGGCTGCCTACTTCCACGTAAATTTTAATCACCAAATTAATCACTGCTCTTCAATGATACCCTAAGATCTGGCGAGGTCAGTTTAAGGATATTTGACACTCTGAAAATAAAGAACAAAAAAGAAGTCTTCCCACAGCAGAGACTGCGCTAACCCGAAAATGAAACTCTGTCCCCAAAACTATTCACACCTACCTCGGAGAGACACAATCCATTACCAGGGAAATCACTCGACTTAGAAGGAAAGAATCAGACTCTTTGCAACTGTGAGCGCGCCTTTGTACAACTTCTGGGAAACAGGCTGTTAAGGCAGGGCTGTCAATCAAACGACAGGTCTGGATCTCTTCTGGGGAAAAGAAAAAGACAGAAACATACTTTGCTGTTGGTTTTGTCTTGAAGCCTGGAACTCTTCTTTCAAGCTACCTCTGCTTCTAAGGGCTGTTTCCCCTCCCTCTTTTTATTCCCTCCCCCTCCAGTCTGCCCCTCCCTATGCCCTCCCTATTTTTTTTTTTCCTTCCTTCTTTTCCTTGCCAGCAGATTCCGAGTTTTGGCTTCCCCAACTCTGCTCAGTGACATGATAAGTCAGGATCATTTCTAGAGTCCCCAGAGACAGGAGTCAGCTTTTACTTTTATTTCTCTTGCAGCATTTACTAAGCAGKCTGCTTTGAATTACTCATTTTTTCCCCAGCTAACCTCCAGCCCATCAGGCATTTTCATAAGAGAATCCYAGAGTCAGCCTTGAAGATCCAGCTGAGGGGACAGAGTCAGCTGTGAAGTCACCAGCAACTGAGTTCAGCCTTTATGCCAGCAAGAGTCTGTGTTCTTAGGTCTTGCCAGTATTCTTGAATTATATGTGTGTGATGGTCATCTGAAGCTTAATCCTCCCTCCCTTAGTGTGATGTTAATTCATTGAGGAAGGAGGGCGGAAATTACTGATGTGTGTGTGGCTAAGGGGGAAACCATCATCTTGATTGAAACAGGATTGCTTACTTCTTAGGGTAGAAGTAGCATTTCGGCATGCTAAAATCATCATTAGCAGGAGCATCCACATTGCCACTATTTACAGAACAACTATTAGGGGTATGGCATAATATTAAGGAATGTCACACATTAATATTAGTTCTCATTAGTTTATAAATGAGGACATGAAGGCTCCCAGAGGTTAAGTAAACTGACCAAGGTCACATAGGCAGAAAGAAACCCTYGGTTTCTAATGGGTAGATAAATCACCTGGCAGGGGTGCTTGTTTGTAGATTTTGAATCAGAAAAGTCTGTCACAAGCCCCTCACCAATGCTTATGTCTAGGCCTGCTTTAAGGAGCAAGGTAATTTAACATTCAAACATATATGACTTGACACATTATATCCTCAAACAATAAAGTCAAAAGTCTATTTCCAGGCCGGGGGGTAGCTCAGTGGTGGAGCATTTGCCTACCATGAGCAAGGACCTGGGGTCAATGCCCAGCACCCCCCCCCCCGTGTGTGTGTGTGTGCACGCACGCGTGCACACACACACACACACACACTACCCATCATCAAAAAGTCGCTTACAGGTTTATGCTTCCTTACAGACAAGCTATGTGATATTTTAAAGTACATGAAATACATAAAGCCCTAGATCTCCCATGCTTCTATAGCTCAGAGTTACCTGTCCTCCATTAAAAAATCTGTACAAGTATTACTGACTCCTTTAAGTTAATACAGCGAATCTGCAAATCCCCATTAACTCCTGGCAGAGATTTGCTTTCCTCCTTCCCTCCTTCCTGTGGGATTGTTAGACTTCTCTAGCAGCAGGCAGAGGGTCTGGGTCCTTTCCAGATCTCACCTGTTCTAAGGTACCCTGCTCTTTCCAGCCTCCTCTGGAAAGAAAATCTTGATGCTATTGTCACAGAGGAAACAGAAGCCCCTCCTCCTTTTTCTAGAATGGAGGCCACAGAGAGACTTTTTCACTTCCAAAAAAAAGTTGAAAACTTCTTGAGACTTGGTTGAGTGGGGGAGCTCACACGCAAAGGGCTACAGATACCTGGAGGCCACCTGGAGACCCTGGCCACAACATCCTCAGTTTTAAATAAAGATGGACCTAAAGAAACAAGTACTATGCACAGGGGGTGTTGTCACTTGGTGATGAAGATCAGGGATATGTAGAACCAGGGTATTTCAGAACTTGCCTAAGTTGCCCCAGGAAATGGTGAAGTGGGGCACCTGGTTACATTAACCAGAGGTTTCTAACAGAGCAGTGATCTTCCCCACCTGAGAGCTGCCACCTTAGAGGGCAATTCCTGTCTATTGCTTGGTGCAAGTCATTTTCTCTCTCTCTCTCTCTCTCTCTCTCTCTCTCTCTCTCTCTCTCTCTCACACACACACACACACACACACACACACACTCACACACACAATGCAAAAGCACAGAAACTCCAAGGAAACTCTGGGTACCACTTTTCCTATTGAAGATCATGTTTTCCTGTTACCAAGCCAAAGGTCCATGCTCTGAATTTCTAGAGAGGCCAGCAGCACCTTTTCTCAGCCCAAAACAAGGTGAGGTAGCTGTTCCCAGAAGGGAGGACGGAAGCTTTGTCTATCTCTGACACCAAAGCTTTCACCCTCTCAGGCTTCAGGTGACTCATTCACCCCATTCTCCTGCACTCTGTGGTGTGTGTGTGTGTGTGTGTGTGTGTGTGTGTGTGTGCGCGCGCGCGCGCAAATACACCGGCTCCACACGGAGGATTTGTACTGATAAATAAAGAGAAAGCTTCAGGACAAAATGCAATTGGTATCAGAACAGGTACCTATCCTTGTAACCAGACACAGGCAGCTTAACCTGACTTTCTCCCTTCAAGCTGAAATTCAAAGAGCATTCCCCGTCCTCCTGACTGCTTATCCCTCTCCACTCCCGACTGGAAGGCAAGAAACAGGCTGGCGAACCCTTTGGGGACACCTGCCCCCAAATCCAAAATCTCGTTCACAGTGCAAGCAGGCTTCTTCCTGCAAGCCCTCAGAAGGGAGAGGGAACCTTGGCTCTTTATAATGCACATGGCTTTAGAAGACTCCTGTAAGTTTGGAGAACTTTTCTGAAAGCCTCCAAATGCATGAATTATATCAACACTCCTCACTCCGCCCCCCCTGCCTCCCCCGCAGGCATTCAACATTTCTTTCAAAGAGCAAAGAAGAGATCCTTACCTTTCTCAGCCAGAATCAGACTGAGACAGCTGCCAGCCCCAGCCTGGAGCAACCGGGAGAGGGGGATGCAAATCACCACGCTAGGGATCGTACACAAAGTACTCAGTGAGGCTTAAACACCATTAAGGGACCGGAGACAATTTGGTGAGAGGAAATCCCTTAAACCCTGTTGTATTTTACTCTGCCTTTCCTCTATGAGAATGTAATTCAGACTTTTTTTTTTTAAAGCACTAAGTTGAAACAACATTGCCTCCGTTTTTTTTTCTTTTTATATCCTAATTCACATTCATTTCCAAGGTTTTCCCTCTCCAAAGTTCCCATTCTGATGCATCCCTCTAAAGTTCTGTGAACCAGCAGAAAAGAATTTGTAATCTTTGTTCTGCACTCTYAACGGGGTATAGGGTTTGGGGAGTGTGTGGGGGTGGGAAACAGGACCATATCATATCATAGCAAAAATAAAAAGAAGAGGAGGAAGATAAGGCTCATAGTAAAATGATTTTGGGTGCCTGTGAAAGTCCTCTACCTGAGGCCAGGGGAGGGGTCTACTTGGAACTGTTCATCAGAGGATGCCAAGGCACCACGGAAAGGACATAAAGGACATACTGGAAAGTCACATCTCCTGGGAACTGAGGTTGCCAAAGGCATCAGAAATAACAGAGCTAGGAACTTTGTGTTGTGGAGAGAATTCCCTTCCAATTAAAAAAAAAAAAATCATTTTTCTTAGAAATAAGACAAAGTGACTTACAGCCCGTTCTTCTGCCTTCAGAAGCACTTCAGTTCCACCAACATGTCCTGCACTCCTTTTGGAGGCCAGTGAAGGAAGGGAGGGAAGTTGAGGACCTGAAGTCTCCTCCTTTGGGAACACAGGAGCTTTGCGTTTGGGGASGAGCGCCCCATGTGCATTCAATTACCTGCCCCTGTGTGCTCTCAGCTTGCTTTTGCTTGGTGTGGCWGAGTTGGCTCCTTTCCAGCAGCCTGGGAGATGCCAGCTCCTCCAGGCCCTCGGTCCAATCACCACACGCCTTTGATTTTGGTCATCATCCCCGTCCAGTTGGATCAGCGAGATGCAGGAAGCTGGCCAGGTTTTCTCCTTTCTACCGCTTCTTTTAAGGGCGTGTGCACAGTTATGTTCTGAAATCAGGGACATTTTGGAAAGCCATCTGTGYTTTTGTGTTCCTTTTGGATAGCAGGTCATGTCATCGTCTCCCCCACCCCCACTTTTTCCCCCAAGGCACTTTTCTTTGAGGCCTAGCATATTAAAAAGAAAGATTTGGTAGTAACAATAAGAACAGGGGATATGGTTTAGATAGAAAGAAAGATTTACTATTTGCTGATCCTTTTCCAGTCACTGGAAATCTATAAGACCCATGTGGGTATAGAAAGGACAGCAAAGATCTTTTAAAATGCACCTCCCAGCCCCTGATTGAACTCATTTCATTGTGAGAAACTAAAAAAACAAAAACAAAAAAACAAAACAACAACAACAAGAACAAAAAACCAAAAACCAAAAACACATAACCATTAAAAAAAAAAAAACAACAACAACAACCCAGATTCACTGAAATAAAATGACACAACAGACTTTAGGGAGTGCTGAGTAAATCATCTCTCACTTCAATAGGGACTAATTGTTATTCTGGCTGAAGATGAGAAGAATTGATTTTCTGATTTGAAAATCATAAAGTGCACCCGTATAATCCCAGTGACCTGGGAGGCTGATGCAGGAGGATAAGAGTTTGAGGCCAGCTTCAGTAACTTATGGAGACCCTCAGCAACYTAGTGAGACCCTGTCTTAAAATAAAAACATWAAAAGGGCTGGAGATGTGGCTCAGTGGAAGAGCACCCTTGGGTTCAATCCCTGGTACCTCCCCCTACACGAAATCAAAATATATGTTGAAATTTCTGAGCTTCTGAGATATCCTTATGCATTTTGTACTGTCCTTTATATTTACAGACATTATTCTTTGGAGGCCTATGATGAGAAAGCACAAAAAAAGAGTTACAGCCAATTGGGAGGACACTTTGCTATGACAAGTGCATACCTCTAGTCTCAGCCTCCTGTAGGGAGCTGTAGGTCACCCATTGCTGAAACTTGTAGGAACTCACACTTGCCTTTTCCCAGGGAAGGAATGGGATAAGACCACAATAACCTTTTCACTCTTTTCTATTCCTGGTAACTTCTGCCCTATTTACGGAAGCAATCCTCCAATCCTTGGTGACAAATGCCACTTGTCCTGTCCATAAAATGCTGTATACAAACATTACATGTCACCAGTTCATCCCTAACTAGCACATAATTTTTAGGTTTCAATCTAGTGYTGGGATTTGAAACCATCCTGCCATGTGTAAAGATTTTTAAAAAGTCATCAGCTATGGTCTCCCTGTAAGTCAGTTAGCTTGTCTCAGTTCCACATTCATAGAGCAGAATACATTTGTCTCTATATGCCATATCATGCAGCCGTGGTCTTAAAATGAATGGCTGAAGATGGGCCATCAGGGCTGGCCCTTCCCCCAAATAACGAAAGATTCAGTTTAAACCATAGACTGTAAGCTTTGTGCTTGGCTCAGACAAGTGTCAAGCATGCTTTCCCATTAAGCAGTTCTGACATTTCCATTTTGTGGAAAAAGAAATGGAAATCCAGAGAATGGCATTGTTGCTGGGTTTAGGTCCAGGGTTCCCTCTTTCTGGGTGGATACACACATGCGTGCTCAGTTTGAAGAGGAAAGGAGCAGATGCTTACCAAGCATCTATTTTGCACCACACAGACCCTATCTCAGGACTTTGTTTTTATTGTACTGATGAAGGCACTAAAACTCAGCAGGGTGAAGTAATTTCTTAGTCTACTATGAGGGAAAGAGACAGAGCCAGGTTTCCTACAGAGGTCCCTCTCATTCTATGGAATGCCATGAGGACACCGTTGCTTATTGATTTTTATTAGATTATGTGCATATTCCTGATTTAGCTTCAGTCTCATTTTCTTGTGTACAGGGTGACATGGTCTCATTGAATTTAATCTTAGAAACATACCCCCCMAAAAGGTCTACTTACTTCTACAGGGGTCCCCCTAGTTCTCTGGAAAKAGGTTTAATGAGTAAGCTATGTATTTGGCCAAGTATGCATCTGAGTATTGAGAAATGGAGTTTTGCTACTCAGCAGATTTGGGTAGGTGTGAGTCTAGGACAGGCGCAGGATGGCATGTGCAGAGTCTATGGGAGAGGACATAATGTGTGTGKGGGGGGCTTTTCAGGGGACACCCAGCCCGTTCTTCTGCCATCAGAAGCATTTCAGTTCCACCAACATGTCCTGCACTCCTTTTGGAGGCCAGGCACTTGCCAAATGCTCTAGCTGAGCAGATAAAAATCGGTGGCTAAAACCAAGTCTCTACTGTCAGAGAGCTTACAACGCAGAACAGGAAAGCCATGGTCATGTAGATCATCTTTGTACTAGTGGATGAAGAGTGAAATGCTATGAGAGGTCTGGAGAGGACTCTAATCAGTTCTGGTCTAGGTGTGTATGAGTGTGAGTGGGGGTGGGGCTCGGATGCTGCCAGGTGGACAGATATTTGACATTATAAGTAGAGGGGCAGAGAAGGGGATACTAGGTGGAAGGCATAGCCTATACACAAACAGAGCTTTAAAAAGTCCAAGTCTTCTATGTGGAGTGTTGAATAGCTGATTTGGCTGAATTTTAGAAAGCCCAGGGCAGCAGAGTGCAGTCAAAGTAAAACTGGAAATAGTTTATGGTCAGATGATGAGTTTGGACTTTATTCTGAGAGCAATGTGGTTTTGAGCAGGATGTTGTACTCAGCTCTGTGCATTGTAAACAGTGGCCTGGCATTGGATTGTTAGAATGTTCTGGAGAAAGTCAATACAGGGAAGGGGGCTGGGGGGGGGCTTGGACACTAGCTAGGAAACCTTTGTGACTAACCAGGTGAGAGGACTGGGAACTTGGTACTGAGGAATATGGACAGGTGGGAACTTACTCCAATGGTTAGAATCAGCCAAACTTGGCAATGAACTTCCTTTGGGGGAGGCTATCAAGAGAAAACAGTGTGGAAGGTTTTAAATCCTGGGTAAGGGGCTGGGGATGTGGCTCAAGCAGTAGCGCGCTCGCCTGGTATGCGTGCGGCCCGGGTTCGATCCTCAGCACCATATACCAACAAAGATGTTGTGTCCGCCGAGAACTAAAAAAATAAATAAATATTAAAAATTCTCTCTCTCTCTCTCCTCTCTCACTCTCTCTTTAAAATAAATAAATAAATAAATAAATAAATAAATAAATAAATCAATCCTGGGTAAGTAATAGCTTGGTGGCACTGTCAGCAGAAATAGAGGGGTCAGAACAATGAGTAGCTGTGGGGCATGGGGACAGAGACTTAATTTTATCAGCACAACTGTTCATTTCTCCATTGCAGAGGCAAATGCTAAAGAAAGTTGACTTTGCTACTTGAGTACTGATTTATTCTCTATTTTCCGATTTGTTAGATAATCTTATCACCAGGCTCACTGGTGAATTTTCCACTAAAATTATGAATGGCTTCGTATCTCATTTTATTGCACACACACAATTGCTGACACTCACATACATGATTCAAGATAGCTAACTTTCTGCAAAAACAAGAAAATATTTTAAGAATTCCAATTTGTACCTTTACTTGTACAGACTCTATGCAAAGAATGTATTAAATATATGTTCAATAGCAAATTTCTCAGAAAAAAATATGTCTATGCAATTCTTTTTCTATAATGCCAGTCCTGGAAAAAGCATCCCATAATCCCAYATATGTTTTCTGGTAATTAAAATGTTTTCAAGTCACTCTTTTTTTATTTTTTAAGAAATGTAATGTTTTGAGGTATATGAAATATAAGGATGCTTCATATTTGGGTTCATCATGGTCAGGTTGAATGGAAAATATTCCAGAAGTTTCTCAAATAGGCAAAAGAATGACTTTATGTTGAAWCCAAATGTCAACTTGAAAACTCAGATAATGACTCAAAGAGATTATTTGAGGGATCCAGATATTTAGTGCTAAGTACATTAGTTATACCTTATAATTCCAATTCTGTGATTATTACAATAATTTATGGTATATTACATAATACATAATTATAGAACATTATTATAATTATAATTCCATTTCAATTATCCTGTTATTATTGGCATTTGTCCCATTTCTTGTCATCCATAACATCTGCCATCCACGTAGATCCACCCATAAGCTTGACCTAGCAAGAAGCGTCAATATTTATTGTGTCCTTACTTTATGCTCTACAACTTTTACAGATCAATCATTTCATTTTATGCAAATAACCCAAGAGGTAGGTGCCAGAAGTAGTCCCATGACAACAGTGAGGAGGTTAAGGGACCTACCCTGGGCCGTATGTTGGAAAGTGGTTGGACCCAAGACTCGAACTGATTGACCCAAGCATGTCCTCCTGACCCTTGTGGAATATCGGTTCTGTGTTCAGACAATGTGTATACTCTCTGTGGCTCATAAGGAGTAAATACTGAACCCAAAATAAACTTTCTGAATTTGAAAATGATCATGTTGCAAGAAGAAAAAAAAAACCATGCAATTGCCTTGCCACAGATCCTTTGCAGTGATACACCGCTCAAGGGTAGGACCAGCTCAAGAAAGCTTTTGAAAGCATTTCCATCCACTTAGAAAGTCTTTGATGTCCACAACGTGGGTGGGTAGTGGGAAACAGAACAATTTGCCCAGCTGAACTGAGGTCAAAATAGAACTGTTTATCTTATAAACTTATCTTATGGAACAGGGCGGAGAACAGATCTTTTGCTTTCTTTCTTTAGATAAAAACTGTAAAGTCTTGTTTCGCAAAGGAGACAGCACGCTGCTGTCTCCTTCTTGTTTACTTAA